TAAAATATGTGCTATAAAATGCTTAGGCACATTGATAACTAGGACATTATATCACTACATATTATGAGTACTTCTAGGAATCATAAATACAGTATATTTCTATGTTGTGGTCTATTATGCGATAAATATTTTTAAATATTATTTATTCAATTGGTTACAACTAAATATAAATGCCAATAGATTGTATGGGAATAGTTTTGATTTTACAGATGCCTTGATCAATTAAAATATTGTTATATTTCTCATTTTATCTCACATTATAATTATAATTTCATTTATACAATATGCTTTGTTTCCTTAGAAACTTGTAGTAAATATAAGAATTTGTATCTAATAAAAACACACTATTATTAATTGCACTGTAATTTTATAACAAAACAATACTTATGTGAATACATTCAATAGGTAATACGGTAGTGAAAATACCGTGTAGTTTTCACAATATTTATGTAATATTGTAATACTATAGTAATTAATTTTTAAAATGAACGATAAATGTCTAGTTTGTGGTGATAAAGCGAGTGGTAAATATTAAACTCCATTGTTAATTAATGATGATTATTTTGTATATTTAATTAATATACTTTGTATTTTAGGTAAGAATTTCAATGCCATAACATGTGTCTCATGTAAAACCATATTCCGTAGGAATGCATCGAAATATGAGGTAAAGTCTATTGTAATAATAATCACTTTTAATTAATTTGATATTTTTAATAAAATTATATCTCAATGTAATAGACTTTTAAGTGTTATTTCAACAACGATTGCGTGATCGATGTGTTGAGGAGAAAGTTTTGTAAGAAATGTCGGCTCAAGAAGTGTTTCGATGTCGGCATGAAAAGGGTAACTAAAAAATAGACTCATTCTTTTTGTGAACTATACCCTGATCACTGATTTACTATTGATTTGATAGGAGAATATTCTGAATGAAGACGAGAGAAGATTGAGACAAAATATGATACAAGAAAACCGATGGAAAAGACAAATGATTTGTGAGGCGCAGAGTGTGGCCATCGATTCGACCACAACTGATAACTCGAGCAGTTTTGATGATAAACTGCAGATTAGTACCAAGCTTACTAACAACTATAATATTGACAACAACTCCCCGCCATATGAAACACCGGAATATAACTATAAGCTAAAAGCTATTGAATACCAATATTTAGTCTCGCAGTCCATCGATCCGTTCACTATTAAAAGCAATAATAATTACTTTAATGACATTGAAATGACACGATTGACAGAACTGTTTGATGCCATTAATAGGAGCAAGTTGACCAAGGTTACATCTGATTATCAAGTAGATATCGTCAATAATTTGCGTAAAGAGATCACTGGAGATGCTTTGGGCCGAAGACTATTAGCCATATATTTGGAGCAAATAGTCCACAAGAATGTGAAGATGTCTAAACACATCGAGGCATTTGGCAGTCTGTGTGCCACCGATCAGATCTCACTCATAAAGTATGGATCCATTGAGATATGTCTATTGCGGGCACTTTTGTACTTCAATTTTGAGTTTGAATTTCTGGTAATTATTTTTGTGTCCTTTTAATTTATGGTTTAAATATTTTTGTTTGCAATTAATATTTTCAACAGAATGAAGATAATTGTGTTTTATTTAATTTGGATGTATTGCGAGAGTTTAAGAAAAGTAATAAAAGCTTTTATAATCAAAACATGGTTTTGAAACTATTAGGCAATGACTGGGATTCCGATAAATTTATCGTTTATTTGGTAGAAAATGTTTTTACTATTAAACATGTTTATGTCAAATTAGATAATAAAATGTGTTTTATTAACAGATGACAGCAATTATCCTTTTTAATCCTAATCGTCCCCATCTAATCTATATGGAAACCATTACGTGAGCTATACTTATCCATGTCAAATAAATTTACCAATAGTTTTGATTTAAAATTTTTAATTTAATAGTTTCCAGCAACACGTTTACATACATTTATTACACAAATATCTGAAGTTTAAATACCGATCGGAATACGAGTCTAGCGCTAGATTTACTCATATTTTAAATTGTATTAAAAGTTTGCATTTAATGAATGATACGATTGCTAAAAATATTTTAAATACCGATCCTAACAGTCGTATGCCTTTAATGAATGAGATTTGTTATAGAAGTCAGACATAAAAATTATTTTAAACTAGCTCGTTGTTTATTTTGTATTAATGTAAAATTGTATTATTTATTTTTACAAGTAGATATTTTATGAATTATGTATTTACCTTTTATAAATATTAAAATTCTGTAAAATAAAGTTCGTTCATTTTTAGCTAATTTTTATTTTTATTATTAAGTTAATTTGACATTAATTACTCTACTTTATGTTCAGTGCAAATAAACTTACTAGTTAATGTTATTAGTAACTAATAATTATTAATTAGTTACTAATAATTAGTTATTTTTATAGTAAGTGCATTTGCTGAATAAATATTTTATTGTTTATACAAGTTTACTAAAAAATACATTTAATGGTGTATATTTAACACACTTAAATAATCCACAATTTACTCATAAATTGTGAAATTTATGTAATATACACTGCTTAATGTCATATTTCAATAGATTTGTAAACTATTTTATAAGTGGTTGCAATCTATTAGCACTCGAGTGTATGGTTTATCTATATTTACACCCCTCTACATTCATTATAAAATTCACATTATAAAAGCATTTTTAATTTACTTTAATAACATAAATTATGAGACCGACCTTCAATAAATTCCCCATTTATTGGTTATTTCTGATAACTTATCAGATGTTAGATGTGACATGTTTATAAATGTGATCCCTGTCCACAGGAAGTTACTGGAACATTTTAATCATTTTAAACATTAGAGTTCATGTGTAGCTATTTTATATAATTATCTTATTTAATTAGCCATGTACCTTAGAAACCATAAATAAAAACTAAGAATTATTTTATAACTATTGTTATTAATATACTGTATATTATACAGTCTATTATACAGTATATTAATGTATAATTTGTTTGTAACACAATAATAATTATTCAATTATTACACCTAACATATTGATTTAATCAAATATAAATATATTTTGCAACAAAATAATGGACGAGAAATGTTTGGTTTGTGGCGATAAGGCTATTGGTATGCAATTTGTCTTTTCTTATTTGAATTTATTATAAAATATCTAAAGGGATAATTTAATCGTAACAATATTAGTAATATGGTTAATAATATGGTATTATATTATTATTTAAAGGCAAGAATTTCAATGTAATATCGTGTGTGTCGTGTAAAACCATGTTTAGGAGGAATGCATTTAATTACGAGGTATTGTAATCCATAATTGCAAACATAGTAATTATAACTGATTGTAATTAATATTTTTAAATTAGAGATTTAAATGCAATTTCAATAATGACTGTAAGATTGATGTCTTGAGGAGACGTTTCTGCAAACGGTGTCGACTCCGCAAGTGTTTCGACGTCGGCATGAAAAAAGTGATACAGAATTGAGTGCTTTTTAATGATTGTTATATTTTTGACT